TGGTTGGGGGGGGGGGGATTGGTGGATTTGAAGTGCTTAAGTTTATTATTAATAAGACTCAATTATTTAGCTTACTCAAATCATGTGATAAGGGCCATTTATAAATGATGTCACACAGCGTGGTTGGGGGGGGGGTTAGCGGACGACTTCGCGCTGATGTGATATGAGTGTCTAAATTTTGTGACTAACTTGTTAAGTTTGGGTTGGGAGTGGGGGGTAAAAATCGGCTACAGCAGTGTGACATCATTTATTGATGCCCCCAATGTCAAAGTTGTTAAATTAACAGCTGATTGACTGAATGTTGTGTAATGCTTTATTATTGTGTTTAACAAGATGAAAATGAAAGATTATCTGAATAGCTTAAAATTCTATTATCTGTTGTACATTTAGTAACATTATTCATTCTTTGTTTTTTCTTCAAAATTCTGTACCATATTGGATTGTTGTTTTCTTTTACAGATTGTTTGTGGCTTTGCACTTTTTGCATTTGATAACGTATCATATATAATTTTTGGATATTTATTCATTTTTGTAACTTTAGTAAACCTGTTTAATTTTTGTTTTGATTTACAGAGTTTGCATAGTTAAGAGATACTTATTTAATTTTTGTTCTGCCAGTTTTATCAAATATTTCTATAAGTCTAAATATAATTTTTATCTTCATTACTAAAAATCTGTTATCAACACATTTTTTCCTATTATTTGAAAACAGGCTAGTGGCCCTTGAAATTGTTTTGGTTTTGCTGCATTTGTAACACTCACAACAAAATGTAATCATAAAGCTAGTTTTTGTATTTTTCTTAACTTGCTTTTAATTGTGTTATCTACAGCAAATTATTTTTCTCATGATTTTGGGCCTTTTTTTTTTTTAAATAGATTTAATTGATTATACTTAAAATGTATGTGAAAATAAGTGTAATATCAATTTTGTTTTTAAACTGAGGAAAAATTATTGTAGCTTAAGAGACTGATGAAGGATTTTAAAAATTAAAATATAGTTAGTATTTTGCAATTAATGAGACACTATCAGTTTTATCCCTTTAAAAAAACACATCATTAATTTAAAATGTTCTGAATTATTGTACTATAGGTGCAATGTCAGATATACATGTAGTATAATTATTTTTCATGTTTATTAAACAAAATGAATGTATGTTGATAATTTGTTTTTTTCACTATTCTTGTATAATGAACCGTGTTTTACTTTGATTTTTCTTGTTTTGTTTACGGCTGTGTGAAAAGGGGGTCCAATTTTCACTAATAAATAAGTTTGTTTTGTCATTATGTTGTGGCATGTTAATGATTATAAAATTGGCATAATACTTTTTTTTTCAGTTGATGAAAATGATAAAATATATGAATGGAAAAACAAAATATCTCATGGAGTTTTTGTTAATCTTGTCCTTGGAAATAATTCAGTTGGATCTCAGTCCGAAATTCAAGCACCACAAGTTCTCTCCCTGAAAAATTTTGATTATTTCAAAATCAAGAGGTGTTATTATTGAGTATACTTGAATTCAATGTGCCTATTCTACTTTTTGAATGGGGAAGGACATTTTTAAGGTTTTGTGGGACTCATTATGGGGTCTAGTGTCAAACATAAACTGAATTCATTCTGTTTGTGGCATGCCCCAGAGTAATCATTTGGCATAAGCTTATAATCAACCCCATACAGACCATTGATCAGCGTGAGTGAAGGGGTCAAGAAATTGAGGGTGCTAAAGACAGTTGTGCAAATTCAAAATGTAGGGGTGAATTCTGGCGCATACTTGAATTTGTTGTTTCTTTCAGACAATTTTGAGGTTGCATTTCAAACTTTCAGTTGGGGAGTGCCAAATAATAATTAAAGACATCTTAAATTCCGCACCAATGTGATGTAAACTACATTCATTCTAGTTGTTTCACCCTTGAGGGTAAGCTTTTGTCATAGCTTAATATCGCCTATTACAGTGGTTGCAAAACTCATTAGTCAAATGAGCCAAAAGTCCGCAGCAGGACGATTAAAAAAATGTTGAGAGCCATATTTCTTTTCAAGAACTTGTCAAGAATAATATTTTCCTGAGTCAAAACCCATTTGTGGCCAACTGGCCGAGCCACACTCAGGTCGCTAAAGAGCCGCTGTTTGCCGACCACTGTCCTATTAAATCTTTATAGTCCACAGAAAATTTTTGTTAAATTAAAATTACAAGAATGCATTTTATAACATATCTGAATTTAGTTTTACAACATTCTACACCTAATTGGAGAGCAACGGAAGAGATCCTAGTTTAAAAATCTAGGTGTCACTTAACCTTAGTACCATCGTGTGCACCCAGTAAGCCTTACATTGCTGCGTGCCTCTGAATTTTAGGGGTTTAAAGATGTGATGAGGATATTTTCTTAATTATCATCTTTCAATGCATGGTGCAAAAAAAGGAGGAGGTGGGGGGCAAAACAGAAAAGTGCTTTACCTTCTTTAGCTATGCAAAAAAAATGTGTAACTTATTTTATTTTTACATTATTTTGTAGCTACTTAGTTAATAAATGAATTTTCAACACAAAAAAGGTTTCATCACTAAAAAGCATTGAAAATATGATTTTATAGGCTGAAAGCAAATGGAAAAAAACCAACTTACTTATAATAATTAGAATACCTTTTCTAAATATTTCCAAATTTTACCAGTTGAAACAAAAAAAACAACTATTAATTAGTAAGGTCTATTCTATACATTTTTATGGGTTTAGAAAACTGGTCATTTTTATAAATCGTATAATAGCGGCATAATTATTTTAAGAAGACATAAGTTGTTTAAATAAAAAACATATATTTATTAATGTGTGATTTATCTAAGTGAGAAATTGTATGCAAATAAAGTAGGGCCTATACATTTCCCAATATTCAGTTGATTGAAATGTTTATTTTTAATTTCAAAACACTGTAACATTTTTCAGATAAATTACCTTTTAGATATAGCACTTAAAAACCCTTTTTTTTTTTTAAATTCCCAGAATTTACTTTAAATTGAGCAAATCAGGAATGAATAAGATTTTCTCTAAAACTAGTACCAACAAAAGTTATTGTTTTTTTAATAGATTATAGAAATGACAATCGAAATGCTAGTTCACAAATATTTTTTTTTTTTAAGCTTTCATCATGAAAAAAAAAATTGTTTAAAAAATTCATGCACATAGGTGGGGCGTAATAAATATAGGCTATGTATTTTTTAAATCTCTGTTATGCAGGAAACATTGTTAAAAAATTAGCACATTAACATTAAAAGAAAACAAAAATGCTTTCGGTATATTTATTGATGAAATGTGCACTTTTTATATGCGGAGGCTTAAGAATTTAAAAAAAATATATCATTTTTTAAAGTTTCCATTTTATATAACTTAACACACATGGAATCGATATATTTATTTTTTAAAGACTAATGCCATCATACAATTTATAATTAACACATATCCCTACTTTAAAAGTAATGCTTTTATGATGAAATTTTATGATTTTTCTAGAGCTGTGCAGAATGAGTCATATCAGACCTTTCTTAACGTTAGAAGCATCAAAGAGGCTGATGTCTGCAATCGTGCTATCACGCATGGAATACTGTAATGCTCTTATGGTGGGTCTTCCAGCTACGCTCCTGGATAAAATTAAAAAAGCACAGAATAATGCGGCTCGCATTGTTCTTCGAAAACGCAAATTCGACCACGCTAAAACACGTCTAAGAGAGTTGCACTGGCTGCCAGTCTGCGCTCGCATAGAGTACAAAATTGCAACTCTGCTACCGCTGCTTGCATGACCTGGCACCATCCTATCTCAAAGCTCTAGTAACACCTTATGTACCCACTAGACAACTCCGCTCATCTGACAGTGGCAAACTCTCGATACCACGTGTTTGCCTTGAGACTTACGTACGAGGGGCGTACTTTCGCATTTGCTGGCCCAACAATTTGGAACACCCTTCCTGTCGCTCTCAGAAACAGCCAGTAACTGGAGTCTTTAAAAACTGATTTGAAGACTTATTTATTTCGCAAACACCTGCTGGGGTGATGTTGTCTATCTAGCTATTATCTTGTAGATGTATATTGGCTTGTGTTGTTAATGGTTGCAAGGTATGAAAGACTTAGAATGGGTATTCTCGTATGTAGTTTTTGTAATGCTGCATTTTGTACTTCAATGTGGTATGTACCGCGCTTCGAGCCTTTGGGGATGAAGTGTGATTTTCAAATAATCTTTATTATTATTAAATAATTTGAAGATATATTGCGCTTGATTGAGACTTAGCAAGAACGTATTATTGATTGTGTCGACCTTTTTATTGATGTAAAGGTAATTAAATACAGTGTTATTAAAATCTTTAAAAATACCGTTATTATGCGAATTCTAGGAAGTAAGACATCGGTTGGATCGGCTATAACGATATTGTTAATCGAATACTGTTAGCCTTTAACAAGCTTGGATCATGAAATATATATATATAGCATAGCGATATATCATAGATTCGACTAATTGTAATCGGTAAAAGGCATCGGATACTATTCTTTTAAAAACGTAAAAAAACCAAAAAAAAAAAACAAAACAATGTATAATGTAGTCATTTTTAATTTTTTAAAATATATATAATCGTTATATTGTTGTCCCCATTTTTGCTCGGGAGGGCGGGGATGGCTGAAAGAAACCCTGCCCCCCTCCCCCACTTCCCGGCGTGGTGGTCATGTTCCCTTCAGTTACACCACTCCACAGTAGTCCTCCCACTGATCCTTTTTTAACCAAAAGTCCAGGTTTCAGCTAGCAGGGGTCAGTCATGGGAAACAAGTGTAAGAACTCACCCAAGGTTCACCCTCTCTGGAAATAAATACGTATTTAAATCTTAGAAAAAAATAAATTATAGGTCTTGAATTTATATTTTCGTAACATAAATTATAAATATTGAATAAAGGGGCGTTACTATGTGAGATAGTTTGGGGTCAAAAGATTTGAGTTATCCCATTGTTGTGTTTACCCACAATCCTCTGCCAAATACTTCAAAATAGCACAGGACGTGTAGTGAAAGAAGAAAAATGCAGCCTGTGCAAAGTCTTGAAATAGTCAAAGTATCCAAAAGTCTTTCAGACTTTCACGATTCTGCAACAAGTAGTAGGCATGAAAAAAGTCTTGGTCTTTTAACAACGAAATTTGTTACCCTTCTTCAAGAAGCGAAAGATGGTGTATTGGATTTAAAAGTGGTAAGTCGTCAATGCAGTGCGTGATTCAATTTTCGGAATGACTTTTTTTCCGCTATAATTATGTAGCTTGCCAAAAGTAAACAAGACAAAGACAATAAGATTTGCAATAATCAGAAATGTGCAATTCTATTGTATGGCTTAACATTTAACAATATTACTAAATTTTAATAGCTCCATTAAGGATAGGCATAAAGTAAAGGTCTTGTTCTTTTTTGTTTCTGCAGAGAATTGCTTTTTTACTTTAGCCATCTTGGAAGTATTTTCCAGGTTTCCATTATAATATTTAATATTTTCCTCTTAGATAGCAGCTGAGGGTTGATTGATAATAATAAAAAATCCTTACAATTTTACCATCAAGGATTCCTTTCCTTAGATGATAGTGCTAAAGACAATCACTCTACGTCTTACTTCTAGTTTTAGTTCTTTCTATATTATATTTGCCATAGTCTTGGTAGGTACTTGAATACAAATATAAAAAAAATTGAAATAATTTTTTTAATAGTAAAGTTAGTTAGAGCAAATTTCAAATATAAAAATGAAACCAGAATCAACTTTTTAGCTTAAGTCTAAGTACTTTTTGAGTTACGAATTTTTAAAGTGTGAGTTCGTTTGGTATTTTTTACTATGGACGAAGAAACCTCCACATCTTGTGACCTCATTCCGCTGACACTTTATATAAGGCAAGCATCCCCATCACTAAAATACTGTTTAGGGTCGACTTAGTTTAAACTTTTAACTTTGGCAATGAATAATTAATTAAAGCTTTCCCTGAGTCAATGGTTCAATAGTTTTTGCACACGGCAAACTCTTATGAATGAAACTCTGAGGTAGTACTACAATACAGCCATTATGCAAGTGGCTGTGAATGGTTGTCAATGACAACGAGTTGCACACCGTAAATTCTGATCATCTATAATATGGACTCTACCGGGTTTTTAAAGCTCAAATTAAAACATTCCTGTTTAAATGTCTTCAAAATGCATTCTGAAACACAAGTTACCAAATATTTTGATGTAAATAGTGGTAATAATTTAATATTTCCTAAGTATCGGCAACTTCTGCCATTAAAAAGGGGGCGTGGCCCACGCCATGTCGAAATAGGCTGAGCGAACTGCATGACCTGCCACGCGCCCGTAGAATGTCTCTCGTAAAACACATATCGCTGTGAAATTTGGCATACATGTAGATCAATACATGCCCCAGATGCATAAAAAAATCTGGTAGTGACATGTCTTTTACTTCAACTTAATTTTAATGGTTGAAGTTGCCTTATATTCACCAAGGATTTTCTCAAAGCTGACCGATTGTAAATGAAAAAGAAATTTATTAAATTGTAGGCCAAAATGTCCTCTAAAGCAAAAGGCCGGAAGAGGAACACAATTCTGGGATATAGTAATTATTTTATGAATGAAATAGTTCCACTATCAAAAAATTAAAAACTCGGATTTTCGCGCGACAACAACTATTTCCCATACACATTTTTAGTAGTCTCCCTTGCTTCATCGAAGTACCTAGTCTTGGTAATTTTATCACTTCAGTGGCCCTTGGTTATGGTTTGGAAAAAGTGTGTTGCTTGAAGTGCTATTTAAGCAGTTGTCTTCTTCTTCTATATATTAAGGGCCCACGATCGATTTATTGATCATTCTGGCTCCTATGTATGTAGAAGGGATTTGCAATGTTTCTGTGCCTGATGTTGATGAGGATATTTCACTGGTTTCAAGGGCTACTTAGTGAGGGTATCATGCACTGGGTGTTTGAAGGCCTGAGGCAATAAACTCAAATGTGTCTAGTGTTGTCGCCTCACCTGTTCCTTTTGGAAGTTTGTTCCAGTCCCTGGTTGTCTTTGGCAGGAATGAGCAGTTCCTACACTGGCTTCTCGCTGGTATGAGCAGGAAACTGCCTGTCATGGCCACGTCACTGTCTATGGGGGAGAGGGACGAGTTTCTGGTTAATGTGGGAGCAATGGGCCTGCAAATTATTTATCTTGTACACCATGGAGAGCCTGGATAGTCGTCGTCGTTCCTCCAATAGTGACCAGCCCAGTGTTTCCAGCATGCTTCCAACACTAGGGGTATTCCTGTGGCGATTCAGGACAAAGCGTGCTGCCCATCGCTGGACCACCTCCAACCTGTCGATGCTCTTCTGGGTAAATGGGTCCCAGACTGAATATGCATAATCTAAAAGTGGCCATACAAAGGCTATATAGGCTCTTTCTTTCACACTGGAGTTGCCGATTTTTAAATTAAGCCTTAAGAACCCCAGGGTCTTGTTTGCATGGTTGCACACATTGTTAATATGCTCGTCCCAGTGGACCTCTCTTTGAATGGTAATACCCAGGTACCTTACGGAGGAAACTGGCTCAAGTATATGATAATATTAATTGATGTCCATTATAAGAACAGTGGACACTGGGTTTTTGGTGGTTTTGAAAGAGAAACTGATCACTGTTTTCTTGTTGAAATGCTGTCTTATTGAAATGTTGTCTTTTATATAGGTGCTGAAATTAATATTTACAAAGCCATTAAAAAACTTTTCCTATTTATTTGGATCAATAAAATAATTTTATCTATCAATAAAACATATCCTTTTAAATAGCACTTCAAACTGGAACAACATGATTGTTTCATAACAGATGCTCGTGGTAGATTACTCCATATTCTCCCTTAGCCTACAAGTTACTGGCAAGACTATGTTTTTAGCATTTCCATTAGTTAAGGACTTCGATAAAGCATATGATTTTATTTTAATTTTGTAATTAAAAAATAACATTTTCAGGTTACATAAGACTTGTAGTTGAATGGTCTGTATATTGTAATTAATACATAAAAATTTCAAAAAATGATGGGACTTGAGATTGAAATCATGGGTAAATTAGTATATATAAATATTAAAATAAATATGCAATCTTGTCTTGAATATGATAATGCACATCTCAAAGTCCTAATTTATCATTATATTGCTCCGCATTTAATTTGATTGTTTTGTTACTTACATTTATGGTTTTGAAAATTTAATCTGTGTAAAGAATTTGGCTCGTATAAGAAATAATACATAACAAAAGGCTGAGAAAAACAAAAGGTGTAAGAAAATGACACCAAAGTTAGTGATACTATCAATATTTATTTTAATTATAAAAATCTATATGAATAAAAATTTGAGTACAGAAGCAAACAACTGTATTAACTTACAGCAAGGGAAAAAAGGTATACTTCTCAAAATACAAATATTAATTTATACACACAATAATATAACATCTCGTATAGCAAATAATCTCTCTCTCGCTTTCATCTGTCTCACTCTGGCTGTCTATGTCATGCTGCTAAGAAAGCATGCAGCGTATATATAGGAACCAGCTCAGAACATTCTAGTAAAGAAATTCTAGAAATTGCGTCACGCAATGACATTCTTGAGAAAAAATGGAACACATTTGCCAGCCAAGAAAGCGACAGGCATGGTTAGTTGTGTTTATCTTCATGATTATTGTCTTGTTTCTATTTATGTCCAAGCTGTGCCAAAGTTGTGGCTAAATATCTTGAATTTTCCTGCATTTATTGTTGGTTTTGGAATAGAAGTGCAATGTCATCTGCAAAGTCTAGGTCATTCAGTTGTTCCCAGGGCGTCTACTGCATCCCATTCCTCTTTTTGTCTGTGGATGCTTTCATTATGCAGTAACCTTATTTCACTGCTAAATATGCCATGTAACATTATACACCTGATCCGAGGATGTATAAATATTTGATACTTTTCTAAACTCTAGTTTTATCAAATGTTATTCATGATCTAATTGTAAGAACTAAAAATGCTGTTACTTGCATTCCTCTCTTATAATTGTTATAAATCATGCACTTGACAGGCAGCTGACCAGCTAGCTGTGCGGCAAAAACGAAGAATTTATGACATCACCAATGTTCTGGAGGGTATTGGTCTCATTGAAAAGAAATCAAAGAATAGTATACAGTGGAAGTAAGTCAGAGTTACGATTAATTAAAATAGCATGTTTGAGAAGGTTTAAACATTCAAATTGTTCTTTTTATTGTTTTTTAGTTAGCGCAATTTTGAGTCACTTTTCCTAAAAAAAAATTTTTTTAAAGAGACATTCTTAATTTTTCTTGCATACTTTTAAAAAGTAAGGGCTATAAATGACCAGTGTACTTTTCTGTCAAAGGGGTTCAGGACCTGGTAGCAATTCTAGGGATATCTCTGAAAGGCTCACAAGCTTGAAAGATGACTTGGCTGATCTTAGAGAGCAAGAACTTCAATTGGACAAGCACAAACAATGGGTTCAGCAAAGTATAAAAAATGTCACAGATGAAGTCTCAAACACAAGGTACAATAAAAATTGCACCAGCTGAATGTCACTTGTTTTTAATGTTATTAATTGCCACTTATGAAACAAGTTTATAATCTTAAGTTGCTGGGAAGAGTAAAAAAATTTCCTTTTCACCCATAATAACCTACTAGTATAGAACAGAATATAATGCAGTTTTTAAATTTCACATTTCATTTTTTTCCCACTCTTTTTGGTAGAGAAGTTTTTGAATAAAGAAATCTAATTTTTTTTTTACCTTCTAGCTTCTACATTTTAATATTTATTGAAATAGTCAAGTTAGTTAAATTCTTTTTAAAAAAAAGTAACAACTTTATTTTAATCAACACAATGGATATGTTAGGTTTTGTGTAGAAAAATATTTTAGCTCCTTCAGAATATTAATATTTCCTTTACACCATTTAATTAATGAAATTTTCAATTTAATTGGTCATGAATAACAAAAGTAGGAAGAACTACATTTTAAATCTATTGCTTTCAGGTTAGCATATGTTACTCATGAAGACATTTGCCATTGTTTCAAGGGTGACACATTGCTAGCTGTCCAAGCACCATCAGGCACCCAGCTAGAGGTTCCCATACCTGAGATTGTAAGCCTAGAACACATTTATGTTAGGTTTTATTAATATTTAAAATACTTTCTTATTGGGTGTAATTCAAAAGTTAATTCAAATGTCTAATTTTGTCACCAATAGACTGAGATGCATCCAGCTTTTATTATAGAAAAAGATTTCTCAAGCAGCAAAGGGAATTATTAAACATTTATATTACCGTTCTTCTCTGCAGGGACCAGGCTTTACAAAAAACTACCAGATCCATTTGAAGAGCCAAGCTGGTCCTATTAATGTTTTACTTGTCAACAAAGACACTGATGAATCTGAACCAGTTGTGGTCCAAGTTCCTCCACCAATGCAGGCAGCTGCAACTGTAGATATAGGTCCTTCAGATACCTCACAGAATCAAAATCCTGACCCAGGGAAGCAAGCTGATAAAGGCGGGACAGTTACAAGAGGAAAAGTAGGCTTTCAGTTTTTAAATAATTTTATTCAGACTTATTTGGTCAAAGAAACACATTTTTACTAAATGGAATAAACTTTTAAGCTCCTTTTTTTACAATTTCTAATGCTTGTCCATTGTTTGTTGTCTTCAAACAGAAGTCACCAGCAAAATATCCATTGAAGCAGTCCCAAACAACTGCTGTTATTGAACCCCCTACTCGAATGGCAACAAGGTCTTCCCCAAGAAAAAATATGTCTGATTCACTACTGTCTCAACGTAAGTTTTGCTCATCCACTTTTACTATTGAAGACCATAATGTAAGAACAATATTATCTTGAATGAAATTTATTAAAAAAATAATTGTTGGCATTATTTTTTCCCAACACCTTTTAGCATCCACATCTTCCACCTCTACTCAGTCAGATCATGGACTGGATATGTTTAACAATGATCTGTTTGATTCCAAGCAAGATATGGGTTAGTTTTTATTGTAAATTGTATAGCTGATTGATATACGAAGTGCAATTGATTTGACACATTAGTCAGATTTCCTTCTGAGATGGGAAACCATTGTATGTTTATTTAAAATCTGTTAACAAAACGATAGTTATTAAGATGATGTTTAACTCCTTGCCTGCTTAGTTTCTGACTGTGTTTGGGCTGACTTAAATTATGAAGATAATGTTCCACTCCTTGCCTGCTTAGTTTCTGACTGTGTTTGGGATGACTTAAATTATGAAGATAATGTTCCACTCCTTGCCTGCTTAGTTTCTGACTGTGTTTGGGCTGACTTAAATTATGAAGATAATGTTCAACTCTTTGCCTGCTTAGTTTCTGACTGTGTTTGGGCTGACTTAAATTATTAAGATAATGTTCAACTCTTTGCCTGCTTAGTTTCTGACTGTGTTTGGGCTGACTTAAATTATGAAGATAATGTTCAACTCTTTGCCTGCTTAGTTTCTGACTGTGTTTGGGCTGACTTAAATTATTAAGATAATGTTCAACTCTTATAATGTTCATCTCTTTGCCTGCTTAGTTTCTGACTGTGTTTGGGCTGACTTAAATTATGAAGATAATGTTCAACTCTTTGCCTGCTTAGTTTCTGACTGTGTTTGGGCTGACTTATATTATTAAGATAATGTTCAACTCTTTGCCTGCTTAGTTTCTGACTGTTTGGGATGACTTAAATTATTAAGATAATGTTCCACTCCTTGCCTGCTTAGTTTCTGACTGTGTTGGGCTGACTTAAATTATGAAGATAATGTTCAACTCTTTGCCTGCTTAGTTTCTGACTGTGTTTGGGCTGACTTAAATTATTAAGATAATGTTCCACTCCTTGCCTGCTTAGTTTCTGACTGTGTTGGGCTGACTTAAATTATGAAGATAATGTTCAACTCTTTGCCTGCTTAGTTTCTGACTGTTTGGACTGACTTAAATTATTAAGATAATGTTCCACTCTTTGCCTGCTTAGTTTCTGACTGTGTTTGGGCTGACTTAAATTATTAAGATAATGTTCAACTCTTTGCATGCTTAGTTTCTGACTGTGTTTGGGCTGACCTAAATGCAAGGGCATGGGAGAAAAAAAATATGTCTGACAGAAAACAAATTAATAACTTAAAAATAAATAGTCTGACAGCCTCAACTTTGTTATCAATGGGAGATAGAAATGAAAATAGAATAAAAACATAAACAAATGACACATAGTATGAAGTGTTATTGAGTTCACTTCTCTTTTAAGTGCCAGTATTTATAATTCCAAATCATTATCATTTATATTTGTGCTTCTATTTTCATGCCACCTGAGTTAGAAGAGTTATAGTTAATGGTATAAAAATAACAATTGATTCCAACCAGAACAAAATAGTTACTATATCTATATATGGGCACACAAATATTGATATTGAGCTAAGAAGGTAAATCAGACTTAAGTCAGATGAAATATTTATTACGAGTCATTTTGGTCAAGAATAGGTCATATAATGATTTTTTTTTGTTTTAAAATTACAATTTCACAGATTTGTCAGGAGAACTGTTGGATTTGGATCAACTTATGTCTGCTGATAGTAAGTGAAACTTTTTATTATTGAGGAAAAAAGATGCAGTTGGTATAAGGCCTTAGCTAATTGATCAGGCTATAAATTTTACTGACTACAAAGGCTCATAAAGCACATTAAAAATTAATTATTAGACACTATAGTTTTGCTAAATTTAGATTTTGCAGTACTTTTTCCTTAGAATGGATTTGGTATATTAGGCAGGTCAGAAAATAGTAACCATGTCTGATTGTAAATTAAGTGTGGTGATTATTATACTTTAAATTAGGATGGGGGAAAGTAATCACTGTAAGGATTTTGGACAAATACAAAGAAAGCAATTGCGGTTATTTGTGAAATTTAATTACCTTTTTTTGTATTCTTCGCAGCCCTCACCCCACTGCTGTCGTTAAGTCCTCCACCAAGTGGAAGGGATTACTACTTCAACCTTGATGATACAGAAGGAGCTTGTGATTTATTTGATGTGGATATCACCAACATGCTATCATCATAGTGCAGTAGCTGTGTGAATATAGATATTTCCTTCAATTTAGCAATAGATTTTGGTCCAATTTTTAGAAGCAAGAAAATAGTGTCAACATATTTTTTAACATTAATTGGGTGAGTGAAATCAGTGCCTTTATGATGAAGCATAATACACTGTGTCCATGGTTACTGCAATTTTCATTGCATGGAAGGATACATGAGGGGAGTGCCATTATTACCATAGTGGGCAATTAATGGACCTTTATGAAATTATCTTTTCCTAGTAAAACCATTGAATGCTTAAAGAATAATGTTTTATAACTGCTTTAAAGAAGTTAAAATGTGATTATATACGTCACCGCTAGACCTTTCTCATTATCTCCTTTTTGTTTTTTTTCTCAGTAGTATTGTTAAAAATGCATTAATTTCAAAAAAAAAAAATTATGTATTTTATTGTATTCTTTGTGATGCAAATTGCACAAAAAGCTGAATAATGCTTTTTTTTTTTTTTTGCACTATCATTATACATGAGAGATAGTTATATTTTTTTTTATGCAAATTACACAAAAAGCTGAATAATTTTTTTTTTTTTTTTTGCACTATCATTATACATGAGAGATAGTTCTCACAGAAGATAGCAGAAGGAAGTGTAATAGTTTAAGAGAAGTATAGATCATCTGTATTTCAACACTAACTTGTGGTTTGTAGCCAAACCTTTATTTTTTTATATACAAGAATTGTTATTGCACTTTGTTAAATGCATCATGAAGTTAGATTTGCTTAGGTTTGCACCTTTAAGCATATTGACAGATTAACGATTAATCAGCTTTGCTAGATTGCCATGTCAAGATCAATCGGTTGCTGATTATGCATACTAATGCATATATTGTTTTTAATTAGAACATAACATGCTATGTTTTGAACCATGAACCAGTGGAGCATCTAGGTTTTCAATTGAGATCAAGGGAGATGAGTATTTAAAAACACATCTTATCATCCCCAAAAAGTGGACTTGGGTAAAACTGCCAAGGTTCCCCTATAGGTTTAAATTATTTCAGTTTTACTTGGCATATTAAGGAGTCATCACATGATAGATTCAAATGGGCACAAAAGAATTATTTCACATGGTAAAATCTAAGACTGTTGTAAAGAGAACCCAGGGGGGGGGGGGGGGGTATCCCTTTAGTAAATGAGATGGTAATCTTGTATCAGCACAGGGAAAAAAAATTGTTATGAACATGTTCTAGTTTTTGTGTTGATACTGAAGGTGTCACCAAAACTTTAAACAAAAATAAATTTAGATAACTGATTGATTTCTAAAAAAAATTAAAAGGTTGATTACTGATTATCTCCAGATTAATTGGTGCAAACATAATTTGGTTCTAACATTTAAAGAATGCATGACCAAACTTGATTTAAAAAAAAAAATTGCTAGTTTCATTCTTAAATTAGTAAAATACAAATTAAAGAGTTTAGTTCAATTATTGATTGTAGTTAGTTAAATAAATTTTTTCATATGTCCTTGCTAATAGTAAATATTCAAATATAAACACATATAATGTTTATTCATAAAACATTATAACAAAATAATAAATAATGGTTTAATAGAAATTTCCCTATCAAGGGCCAGTTATAATTATGTCCCATTATGTTTATCCTGAAAGAGATAAACATAATACTTTTTATGATAATAATTATTATTATTATTTTAAAAAATTGTTTGAAATGGAGTTAGGACAATTTTTTATTTTTTTTATTTCCCTGTGCATACAATTTAATTGATGTTAAAAGATTTTTCAAAACCCAAAAGATGGCAGTTCTAGATATGTATTCATGTTACTACTATATCCATTACTTGTTGATGTACATTTCAAAGCAGCATTGTTATTGCATTGTTAAATGTAAGTTTCTGGACATTTTTTTTGTTCCTGGCTATATTAGAATTTAATATAGGATTTTCACTTGTTAGAGAGGCTGTGGAATATTCAAGAATATGTGACTAAATGAAATCAATTCTTTTGTGGGATTTTTAGTTCATAATTTTGATAATCTTTTAGTATCTACTACGTTCCTTAACTGAAGAGCCTTTCCTTAAACAGAAGAATTGGACTAACTGTTAAAACAGTTGATGTATCAGAGAATTTTTAGTAAAAAAATTTTAGTTTGTTGCAATATAAAAATAATGTATTTCTAAGAAATAAATAAATACCTGTAGCATTTTACACACATTAACTGTTCAGCAGTGATGTCATATCAATATACAGAGTCACTATATGACCTGGTATCTTGCAAAGACACAGAATGTTAAGTTTCTTCCTTAAGGTTAATTACTGCGAATTGTGTGGGTGGTTGTGCTTGTAAATATTATACATTATTCGTTTCATTAACTGAACAATCATATATCTTAACGCTGCCACTTAAAATGTAATGTTTCCTATTAGAATTGTAACTTCCTTTTTCAAATCTAATTTTTTGGGGGTTAGACTTGTCTAGAAGTAATTGATTGCCTTCAAGGTGCTTAATAATATTTTTATTTGGTGGAAGAAATGACGAATATAGTGTTAAAAATCCTCAATGCAATTTGGCATCTCTAAAAGAAATATGGGGTTTTTCAATTTCTCTTTAGGCTGTGACCTGGACTGCCAGCAGGTAGCCACAAGAAAATAACTGAACTGATACTCTATGCATGGTAAAGACTTGTAAACTAGTTTTGTTGCCGTCCTGTTGTACCATTCTGCTACAGTTTGGACACAGACTACAATTACCATTCCTCAGTGTGTAGGTTACCATTTGTCTGTGCCTTCATGTGACCATATGAAACCCTCATGTGTTCAAGGAAGTTGTTGTATATTTATGTAATTTTTCACATATAAGTAAATTCATGTAACTTTATAAATATAAAAACATTTATATGTTTGTTGTAAATATTGTTCATTGACTTTTGTAACATAGCTTTCTTTATTGTCATTCTTCTGTGAATTGTTTTCATCATGTTTCATTGAAAGGATTTAGCTTTAAAGAAAGATTTACAAAGAATTACCTTTGTAAAATTAAGTTTCTTGATTATTCAACAATCATACAAAAGATTTCAGAAGATGGTGGGTTGAATAAGAAAATCAATATTTTAAGTTATTTTACAACCTTGATTTCTCAATAAATATTATTTTAACTTTGCTGTTAAATTGATATGTTTTGATTTAAGGGATTTTACAATTCTTGTATACAGATTATTTAAAAAAAAATAACAATGCAAAATAGATCTGTTTCAGAAGTTATGAGTAACTGCTCTTTCTTGTACAAATTACATGTTAAATTCACAATAAATCTGTCAATAGCACATTTGCATACCTTTGATAATACTTTGAGTCGAGTTCATATTATTTCTCTAGTTACTTTGTACAGTATTTCTGTTGAGTTAAAAGCACTCGTGTACGGATGTTTATTTATTTATTTTTTTACACATGTAATAAAAGATATGATTAAGAAAATGGGAGATGTCGATTCACCTGATATAAATATCATCCACTTTAAACAATATTTAAAATTTAAGGATACCAATATTACAAATGACATTAGATAAGTTTTCATGTCCACCTGGCTGCAATCATAAATAAAAATAAAAGACTTATAAAGATAAGGTGGTTTTATTTCAACTATCCAAGCGCTTATAAATGCAGTCTTTTTTTTATGGCCTATTTTATACATTTAATATACCCTGAAAACGTTAAACTGATGACTATATGTTTAGTTAGCTTCTATTAGTGCATAATTTCTTTTTAACTGACCTTTAAAAATACAATAGAGTGATCCTTTTAAAAAAACAATCAAATTATTGTAAACATTACATCGCAGCATTTTAAAGAATTAATGATAAGATAATTATTGAAAGCATGGGAAAAAATATTGAAATTTTTAGTCAAACAGATCTCACTTGCAATGTTATAAAGGGAAAATGTGTAAGCATATCAAATAGTTTTGTAAGTAATAGTTCAGCAGTAGTGGGAAATAATCACATTATCATTATTGTTACAGGTTTTGGCAAAAATTGCCAGTATTTTGGCATTCTTTAAATATGTTTTATTGAAAAAATGAAAAAAAAAGAAATAAATAAAATATGGTATGTTAAAATGATTTACAAGATCTTTTTTTTGTTTTTTTAATGTATAATATTCCAAAATGACTCATAAAAGTGATAGGGTCTTATCATATCAGAAAAGCCATCCCTTGGTTAGTAAGGCTTTTTTTTGTGTGACCTCAGTAAATTTTACATTAATTTGTGTCCAATTAACCTATTTGATTAAGCAGCCAAAAAAAAAAAAGCCCTACAACGATTGATTGTTGCTGTTTTTGTAGTCACACGCCCGTTTGACAAAATCTACGGGGAAATTACCACCCTGGCGCAGTTGGCTTCCACTTCAGTGTTTTATTTTATTTGTGTGAAGAAAAGTTTGCATTTTAAAGCTCTTGTCATCCAAATGTTCAATTATTTGAAAAAAGAAATATGGTAAAATGATGTGTGCTTATTTACAAAAATCACTGCAGTTTGTAAATTGCACTTAAGGTCAACATTTTTCTATCAAACAAACAAAAAAAACCCCCCATTAAATTCAATTATAAAATTTTACATTTATAATAACAAATATAATAGCTATTTATTACTGACCATGGTTTCTCATGTGAAATTTAAATGATATTCTCCTTCTTTTCGGTAATACCCGGTATTGATAGATTTCAACAACTGGGACCAAGAAGTTACAGGTTTCAAAGGTCTCCAGAGACTCTGTCAGGGACTAAAAAACAGGCTGACGGTGTCCCCATCATCTTGCTGGAAAATAAGTAATTACTTCATAGCTGTCAAGAAGTGACAGAAGAACTAATGTGGTCACAGGACTTCTGGTGCATTTATCTTTGGGGAAATGTTGATTGATTTATGCTAACATTATCATTTTCAGTTTTGCGTGCTTTATACTTATGTGCTCTATTTCTCATCAACTACAATTTCATGTTCTCCCCCCCCCCCCCTTCCAAGTCTCATTGTGGTAATTTATTTTTGGGGAAATGTTGATTTTTTTTTGTTAACATTTTCATTTTTAGTTTTGCGTGCTTTTTTCTTATGTGCTCTTTTTCTCATCAACTACAATTTCATGTTCTCCCCCCCCCCCCTTCCAAGTCTCATTGTGGTGCACTTGGCTAGTAAATAAGTGCGTAATTGTCTATTGATAGAAAAATAAAATAAATTTAACAGTTTTTACATTGAATGACTCTTACACAGACTTTAAAGTAAGATTACAGCTTTACAGATAAATTTTAAAAAAAAGATCCGTTAATTTAAAAGTAAATTCTGACTAATAATTATTAAAAAAATCATCATGTCATTGTCAGACCTGAAAATGTAGGCTAATCTGTATTGTTAATGAACATTAGAAAACATACAATCGTATTTTAATTTTGGTTTTCAACTTTGATTACAATATAATATTTTTAAGCACAGTCCCATCAAGATGGCAAAGAAAAAAATTACATAGAAATTAAAATAAAAATTATAATTTTATAATATATTATACCTGATATTATATTATCAGATATTATATCTGATTTTTTAATTATAAAAATATATGTACTCAGCAAATAAATTTAAGAACACAGGATAAAAATTTGTGCTTGGTAATAAACATGGGAAAAAGTAAAATTCTAAATAAACAGAGTTAAAAGGAAAATTTAAAAAATAAACATCCTATTTATGTCATCTCCGCTACGTGCTTTGAGTCCATTTTGGTCCACAAACTTCAAGTTATGTTACAAGCTGAACTCCCAGACTTTTCCCCAACATGATGCTCTTTTTTACTATTGGCCATCTGTAAAGAATATATTTAAGCAGATCTTTCAACTTTGGTGTCAAAAGTCTTATTTGAGTCATTTTCAATTTAAAAAAAAATATATACATTAAAAAAAAACAACAACCAAGTAACATGACAACACAATTTAATTTGAAAAATATCACAGATGAAACATGAACAAAACAATTAAGCTTATGTAGATTTAGAGAGTCTGTGCAACTTAGTTTAAACACTACACATTTACTTCTATAGATCTAATAAGTTTTACATTTAATGTATTAACCCAGAAAACAAATTTAAACTTATTCATAAGATTTTAAAAAGCAAATAATTAATATTCAAGAGGAAAAAAATTGATGACCAAGATTAAAATTTTGACCATGATTTAAATGCTTTGAAAAGCTGGAATTTTGATGAACTTTTAATCACTAAACTTAAAAATGGAGGAACAACTAGACAACCACAAACCATACTTGAAGCAATTAGACATCAAAACATGATTTTCATTTCAGAATTTTCAGGTACAGCTAGCTATTTAAAGCACTTTAATAATGAGGGCAGACAATTATGATATAAAGTGTGACAATAGCAAGGAAGTTGAACTGAAATTGCAGATACATCATAAGCAAAGATGTTAAACAAGATCAATTCTGTGTTGCTTACTATGCTATTATTTCCACTATGATGTGAAGATTTCTCTATAGGGAAATGATGTTTTTTAACTTTGTCATAGTCGATGATGCCATTAGATTGGGCTGCTTCATTTGCTAGATCTTCTTCTTCTTCCCCAAAAACAAACAGGCTGACGGTGTCCCCATCATCTTGCTGGAAAATAAGTAATTACTTTATAGCTGTCAAGAAATGACAGAAAAACTCATGTGGTCACAGGACTTCTAGTGTATGGCAAAAATTGGCTATTCATTAAATTTTATCAGAAAAAATTGCTCTTATTCCTTTTACTTTTACCACTAGTATTTAAGGAGGGAAATGACTGCTCTTTTTTACTGTGCAAATTTTAAAATAATAATTCAATTTGTTTAAATAAAGAAACTTTAATATTGAATCTATTAAGATATGCCATTATTTAGCATTTCAAATTTTTTTCATGTCCTCCCTGCAATATTGTTTAAATTTGGTAAAAGCTTATCTAAATTGATAAACTTTTGCCTACATGATAAGATCGAGCCTAATCTCTGTTATTATTTATCATTGATGAACTTATTTCTCATGCTGTTCTTAAAATGGTAGATTTACATGTCTTTTTCTCTTTAAGTAATTAAGAAAAATTGAAAAAGGAGGTTGGGGACAGGGGAAGGGAAACAACAAGGTAAACAGGAGAAAAAAAAGAAATTAAAAATGTGGGAAAATACCATTTACAGATCACAGGCAAAAGTACGGAAAACTTTTTGAGATGCTGTAAAATTTATTACCGGTACATTAAAATAGTAAAAAATATAGCTATGATGAATTTAACTAGCAGCATCAATTAAGATGTGTATAACAAGGAGAATTATTTTGGATTACACTACACACAGCAATTTGAAAGGAAAAATAGTGACAGGTTAATGAAACAGATTTCAGTGCATGTATTATTTACAAATTTTGACCCACAAATGTTACCCTGGAACTGGAAATACTTTAGTTGATTTTCTAAAATTGGAATTTGATGTGTTGAACCGTGAAGCAGGTTTAGAATGATCTATCTAAAAATATATATTATTTTTTGGAGTAGAAGTTAGAGGAAAAGTAAATACAAATAATGAAGTCTAATCAAATTATTTTAAATGATTGGATCTGACATTAGCAGAAAAAAAATTTTCAGAGGCATTTTTCATTTATATTAATGTTGAAAATTAAAGTCCCCCCTCCCCCAATATTAAATTTTATTTTGAATATTCAAACTGAATCAGTTATGTTTCAAAAGGGAAATGAAAAAAATAAAGGGGTACATAGTTTTTAGATATGTTAACCATCATTAGAAATGCTTCAGAGGGTTCTGATTGAAAATATAAAGTACTTGAAGTTTGAGATCAATATGAAGAAAAATAGAATCTAGATCTGCAGGGCCTTTTTTCTAACATCAAAGGATAAGTTCTCTATAAAAGTTTAAAAAAATACAACATCAATTTTTTTATTTTTTTTCTGTTTAGTAATATATGTTTCTGTTGTTTTTGCGAAAATTAGAGGTCTTCTACCTAATAGGACCAAGGAACACAAAGCTGTGATTCTCAAATAAATTTTTAAGTGCTGTAATTTAACTTGAAAAAAAAGCAAATAAATTTTAAGTGGTAAACAACTACAAATTTAAGAAAAATATATGTATTAACCTGGTATAATTTTGTTAAGCTTTTTACTGTTGACTTTCTAAAAGCGTTATTATATATATAATTATTTGAAATACATATTAATCCATTAACATTTTGAAAATTTATTTTTATGTCAATAGCAAAAATTTCATAAAAATTCAGGAAACCATTTAAAGCATTTTAAGACTGAGGGCAGAGATTATGCTATATCATGTAATATGTTAAAAGAAAAAAATTAATTAAAACCTGAATTTTAAAAGTAAGGTGTAAGAGACTATGCTTTTCTTTTCAAGTTTAAAAAGAGGGAAATGTCTTCCTTTTTGTACACTTTTTATGGAAAAAAAAAATCTAAGGCAAAAAAGTTCTTTAAATGCACAGCCATATGTAGCCTACTTTTTCATAATTTATGAAAATGAGAAACACTGATAGAGTGTAGGCCTAATTCAGATATGAATTTTAAATTATTTTTTACCGATGTTAGCCATGAGGAAATGAAAATTAATTTTTGATACATTTAATCAGAATGACAACCATTGCTTCTCGTGTTAGTGACAATGTTATTTTAAAATTTTGTCAAACATTTTTCCTTACATTTGTTGTAGTGCTAGAATTATGCCTTTTCCCATGTACAAAATTTTCTGCTTGGATTGCCTGAAAATTGTATCTCAAAGTTTATTGTCAAATCTATTGTTTCTATTTATTAAGATATAATATTTGCATCTAAAATATTGGTAGCCTGTACTTTATAGATGAAAATCTTGGGCAATTATAGGTGTAAATTATATTAAAGAAGATATGTATATTATGTTCTATTGAAAGAGAAAATGATTGTATAATTTACTTTTCTAAACATAATTTCGTGACAGAGACAAATTATATTTTTATGAACTAAAAACTTTGCTGATTAAAATATAGTTCTAAAACTTTTGTTTTTAACAAATTAGACTTATTACTTAAATGTGCAAAACTATTCCAACATTTATTGACACATCAAGGTTTACTCTAAGAAAATTATTTAAATAAAATTCTTATAATAATTATACCTCATTTCAATATATAAAATAAAGTAACAATAACATATTCATTACGTACAAGAAAATTATAGACCTAGGTATTAAATATTTACACTAAAAATTAAATATTTGTAAACATAAAGACAAAACTCTAAAGTGATATAAAGTTACCTTATTTAAAATCTGCACACGGGTTTTAAGCCTTGTGCCTGTGCTGTTGGCTGCTGCAGACACAGCCCTAAAAAATGCATCAAATTCTTGTTCTTCCTTCGGCTTGGCTTTCCACTCATTACAAAGTTGCTGTAGTATTTGGAAGTTGGAACAGTATTGAAAAAATAAGAAAGGTCCGATTGTTATAGTTTACAACTGTAACCAAAGATAGTAATACATATATATTTTGTTCTCATTGATGATTGTTCATAAATACTGAGTGTCTAATTTGGCTTTTTTAAAAATTTCATTTTAACTAATAAATATTAAATAATTTTAGTTAAATTTCAATACATTGATCATGATCCACAAAGAAAGGAAATTTAACCAAATAGAAAAAATGACAAAGTTAAAACACTCGAAGTGTATGAAATGACATTAAACTAATTGTCAGCTTTAGATACTGTAACTAAATACTGCACCATCACTCTTTTCTCTTTCTGTGCAAGACGCTCATATTTCTTCTGCAACAGCACTAGGTCTGTTTTCATATGTGCACTGTCTGCCATTGGTGCATCCGTTTGAAAAACTGATCTCCTGCGACCTCCTGAGTTTGTTGCACCCATCTGCTCCATTTGACGCAGCTCCTGAGAGGTGGTCAAAGATCTTCACATTATTTCAAAATTTTCAATCAGACAATATAAAGCTCCTGGATGGTTCTTCATTATGCCAAAGTAAAAATTCAATAATATATCTGGCCCTTGTTATTTCCCTACTATTTTTTGACTGTTTGATCCAGTGCAATAATTATCTTGTAAAATGAAGATAATCTATTTGTGCATAATAGAATGTTCTTTTTGTTTATTATGATGGAGCATCCTATGGCTTAGTCTATCAATATGACACTCTAAAATTTATTTGGTACAATTTAGTACAATGAGAATTTAAGTATACATACCTTGGTGGATAATTTTGACAGTTTGGGATCCCCTGGTGTGTCCTCTTGTTTACCATAAACTAGGAAAGTAATACTGTTACTCTCAAAAAAATCTAAGTGTTCAGGCAGAAGGCGATCAATTGACACAATCCTGTAATAATTTCGTGAGAAATATTTGAATGTTGAATAAGGAATGGGTAACAATATAATTTTGTTTCAACTTACGTGGGTATACCATACTGTATGAACTATGATATAGAGTCATGCAGAAAAGCAAATCCATGAAGATGAAATGAGCCCTCAAACAAACTTTGGACATTATTTTATAAAATATGAATTTGAAAAAAAGGAATAAAAAAATCAGATCTTACGTTAAACAAATGTAATCTATGAATTATTTTAAATTTTGTATTAATCAGTTTAAATAGATACCCTGCAATCAAATGAGCCACATACAAATAATTTTTTTGACTGTGCTATTTTCTTTTTATTTTGTGATATGGCAATGTGCCACTATTTGTAACTGCATTTATGTAAAATTATATATGTGGCAGTATTCTTTAAGATAATCCACTCACATAGTGTGACTGCTGTGGGTAACCTCAAGCACATACACATCCATGGTCATTTAAAGTAACACACAGCTGTGTGCTGGGCCTTAAACTTTATTTTTGGTTATTTATACTCCGGAATGACCATTCCTGCCCCGGGGTTGACCCCTGATCAGCTTGTGACGTGGGTCTGTGACAGTGTGCTATATAAGGCAGGGGATTTAACCCATGTGGGGTGAACTGATACTTGGAATGTGTGTAATGGATACTTCTGTCTGTTCAATGGCTTGTACCTCAAGAATAAAAGCTATAGTTCTTAGTCCTCTATTTCATTGTTTGTGTATTTAAACTGTAATAAGCCACATCAACACACGGCTACAGTTTAATGTGATTAATGGATGAAAATAATTAAAAGAGGTGCACAGTTTGGTCAGACAACCTTATACACATAAAAACTGTTAACATGTTACACAAATGACATGCTAACCTGGAGTGTTTCAACTCTGGCTTAAGTGTTCCTGTCACCATTTTAGTTTCAGTGAAAGTTTTATCATTCAGTAATCTGTACCTAACTTTGATACCCTTTGAAAATTTTTGTGAGTTAATATCTGCTGATTTCACACCAATCTAAGGAATGAAAAAAAAATTGAAATTAAAAGATTAATAATTATTTAATGCATGCTTATGTTAAAAACAAAAGAGCTGTACATTTAAAAAAATGAATTTCAGTAACATGTTATATAAAAAGTGTTTTTAGCTTTATTGCTATCCAACTATCTGTAATAGTCAATTCATACTCTGACCTCACTTTAGACCTGGAGACCAAAACTGGTTTTACCGCATAGGGTATGATGAGATACATCAAATACTTACTTTAAAATGAAATGGTTTTCCCAGTAAAGATTGTGGATCCTCTACAAAGTTGTTCTCATCCACAGCCATGCCAGTTTGGGTGCAGGGTGTTATATTTACCATCAGTTTACCTTCTTCCTGGCCAATGTAGTTGGTTATTGACAATTCATCTTCAAAATCAAGGGCGTAGGACAGTGACTTTACAAAGAATATAATAAACAGAGGGGATCAAGTTTTGCTAATAAATTAATAAAAATAAATACAATTTTAGGAATTTAGAATAAGGAAGTTAATTTTCCAGACTCTTGAATATCTGTCTTCAGTGCTTAAAAATAGAAAGAAAGTAAGCAACATTAGTCTGTAAAAACTAAAATTTAAAAGATATTTAATAAGTTACAAGCAGATAAAGCCTCAGGTGTTTTTTACCTGTAAAAAGACATTTGCTGTTCCTATAAGAACATCTTCAACAGGCTCCCAAAATGGATCTTGTTCTTTTGGTATGGATGAAATATTTTCCCCATCAAGATATTTTTGATACATTTCCTGAGGAAAGTTTTGGTTAAATTTAAAAATAAATGGGTGAGGGGAAATAAAGAATGTTACTATGATAATTAAAAACCAATATGTCCTCAGTGAAATATTATTTTTACAAAATAAAAATTAAAAAAAAAAAGATTATTAATTATTTATAGAATACTAACCTGAATCAGATATCTTCTGTTCATAAATTTTCCATGTTCCCACAACCACACATTACCATTGAGCAGATTATTCATCTTTACCATTACCCTGAAATTTTTAAATAGAATTATGTCAGTTGTTATTGAATTGTGAAATAAAATTAGAATAATCAATCATACATTATGAATCATTTAAAAATATCTCATCCCAATGTCAAAAAAAAAAAAAAAAAAAAAAAAAAAAAAAAATCTCATCCCAATGTCAAAAAAAAAAAAAAAAAAAAAAGCCCTGAGTGTGTGCCTCCTTTTTCTTTTGGGTAACCCCTTTAAAAATAAAATTTTTCTTTGATATTCAGACAAAGGAATCCTAAATTAAAATTTCTTTGGGTTTATTTTTTACAGGCCAATAAAAAATGTATCGAAACAAACAGTTTATGAAACTCATTAAGTATATTTAAAAAAAATTAATTAAAAACATTATACATTTTACATAATAATAATGGTTATTATTCCATTTAGCACTATTGATTATGAAATCGAATAGTTTGAACTTTAAATAGTCCAATACCTTAGCTATTCCATAATTTGTTACTAGCTATAGATGTTAATATTAGTGGCCGTTAAAAATAAAAAAAAATGAAATTTCTAAATAATTTTAATAATAATAATTTTTAAAAAAAGGAAAAAAAGAAAATAACCATTCACTAGTAAGTGCATGCATACTATCATTTACTTCTTTTAGTTGATATTTTTCTATATGCTTTTAATCAATGCATTTTTAAACAAAAGAGAGAAAACTACAAATGAAGTAACTCATATAAAATAGATAAGTATTGGGTAAATCAAGGAGGAAGATCAATGCTGATCTGGTTAATATATTTGAGGTACCTGGATTTTATTAGTGATTCCTCAAAATTTCTGAAAGATTCATACATTTCACAAATTCAAACATTTAAATAACAGTTTTAAACTGATTCTCTCATAATCCTACAATAATATTTTAAACTCAGAAGCTAAAAACAGTGTAGGCTAATAAAGATTATCCAATATTCTAACAATCTAGTCATAGATACAATAATAAGATAAGTAAAAAAATCATAATAACTCTTAGTTAGTTACATCACTTACAATGCAATGTATAAACACATATGCATGACTTAAACAAACTGTAAAAAAAAAGAAAACTTTACAAAATGACCTAAAGTATTTTCAAAATGAAAGTGCTCAATAACTAATTACAATTTCCCTATATTTAACATTAATTTATAAAGTACATGACCAAAATAAAGTCGAGGAGATATTTGGTTATCACCATATTCTGAAAATTTTAAAAGCATATTAATAATTAATTAAACAGTAACATGAAAGTAATTAACTTACTGTGAACCACTGCTGTCTTGTTTAGTAGTTTCTTGGGCCCCAGTCGAGATGAGAACCACTTCAAATGATCTGTATTTGTTGAGCTCTTCTGAAACTGCATTGACCTCGGATACCATAGGGAGAATCTCAATAATTTTTTCTTGTGCAATTTGTTGCTCTGTTGAGACACCACACAACTTTTAGAGTCAATTAAAAATTGAGATAGTCTTTAACATAAATCTTATATTATAAATTGAAAATTCAAGTCTCTTTTAAAAAGTTCAGAAGTAAATATGATTGTATCATAACAGAATTAATGAAATAATAGCTTTAGATTGGAAAATATAATTTTGTATGAATTCATGAAACAAAACAACACATTTATTATGAATAATATATATGACCTTTAGAAAGCCCTGCAAGTCCAGTAGAATAACCTTTGGCCTGTGCCACCTCCTTTTGAGCAAACTCCCATGTAATTTCTGATGGCGTGCCTTCTGGTGCTTTAGGCTTTAAAGGGTTGACAAAAACATACACATGGTTTGAACCTGTCCAGGAGATCAAAAGCAATATTTATAGAATTATTCAATTATTTCTGGTTCTGTTTCTGGTTTCGTTGCTGCATCTATGTACTGGCATCTTTGCAACCGTTGGGGGTATGATGTTGCTATTCTAACAGCTTCTAGCTGATGCCAGGGCAGCCTTGAAGCTTGGCATCGTTCAGGTGGTTCCATGCAATTATTGTGCGTGGGAAGAAAGATTGTTGAGACTGCACTGTGTTGCACTGAGGCACTTTGAAGCATTTGCTATTGTTTCGGGTGTAATTGTTTATGGGAATGTCAGTGGTGAAGTCAGTGTTAAGTGAGCGTTTTGCTCTGATCAGTCTACCCGGCTTCTGTGGGGTGAGGTACGTGCCTGCTGGGATGGCCGGCACCAGTCCCATGATCAATTTACATAAGAATATCAGGCGGAGTCCCTCTTGTCTGTCTTTAAGGGGGGGGGGATGTCAAATCTTTTTAAGAGGCCAGGGACGAAGCCAGAAGTGGTGGATTTGTAGTCTCGAGCGAAAGAACACACCGCGTTACGTTGAATTCGCTCCATCTTGTCCACGTCTTGCTTACGAGTAGTGGACGGACGAGTGCAAGGTAGGCATTTCGTTTGCAGGAAGTTGGGCAGTGGCGCAGATTTCTTTGGATGAAACCTAGGGTGGAGTTGTCTTTTTTTAAATTTTGTTTATATCGGGTGACCATTTTAGGTTATTTGAGAAGAGAATACCAAGGTATGGACTATTGGATACTTGTCTCGTTCAGTGAGTAAATATGGGTTGATGTTTTTTTTCTTGGGATTGTCATAGTGTAGCATTTGGTTTCATTAAATTTCATGCCCTATTTGTCCGCCCAATTCATAAGGCACTTCAAATCTGTTTGGAGGTGATTGTGGTCATAGTAGCTGTTTATCTCCATGTAGATAAGACAGTCATCAGCGAACAGCCGCACTTGAGAATTTACTGTATCAGGTAAGTCGTTTATGTGACAGAGAAAGAGAAGGGAGCCCAGCATTGTGCCTTGTGGAACTCCTGAGTCTATGGTGGCTTTCCCTGATTGGACGCTGTCCACCACTACTTGCATGGTACATTGTGTTAGGAATGTTGAGAGCCAGGAGTAAAGATTGCCTGCAATGCGTAGTGATGGAGTTTATGTAGAGAAGGCTGTGTGGAACAGTGTCAAAAGCCTTGGAGAGTCGAGAATTGCCATGTCGACCTGGGTACCATTGTCATAGGCGGCTAGGAAGTCATTGCTGGTGATGATTAATTGAGTTTCCGTAGAGAATCCAGAGCGGAAACCTTCATTCAATTATCAGTTTTAAATAAGAATAAAATTAAAGACTAAAATTTGAAGAACATTGATTTTAATTGCTTTATATTGTTATTTACTAACCAAAAATAACTCTATCCATGTGTTCTAAAGTTCTTGGTCCTGCGATAGGAACACCATTTACTCTGGTCTTTGCTCCATCTGATCCTGGTTTGATGATGATCTCCCCATTTTCATTACTCATAATTGCATGTTTCTTTTGAATGCTGAAAAGAGTTTAAAAAAATATCACCATTTTAAAATGATAGTAACAAGGCTGTAAGCTACTTGTGTAGCCTACACATTGAGACTATAAAAGTAGATATCAAATTTGAGGCCATGTCTTTACGAGAAACAAAGGATTTAACAGAAAACTCTACTATAGTAGTTTATTAAATAATATTCAAATGACTAAGGCAGAATGATTTTTTAATCTGAAAATAAGATGACATATTTAAAATCTAAAAAAGAAGAAATTCTGTCTTAAATTTTAATATAAGGGAGCATACTTTAAAAAAACAAAGACAACTTAAAATATAGTCAACAAAAGAAACTAATGTTAAATAACCATTAACCTCAAACCATTAAGCACAACATCAGGGTTGCCATCCTTGCGTCCAAAGACAGTTGTCTTCCCTTTCATGAAATGGAAGACAACTCCAGAAAGCATTGGATCCTCATTCAAGTTCATCAGATGGGGTTCTTTGTTCTTACGGGCAATCTCTCGGTTCTCCTCCTTCGCAATTGCATCAGTTTCATCTCTTGCTGCAGATAACTGGAATAATGAAGAAATAGTGCCACATTACACTGATTCTTTTCATGAACGAAAATAGTGATGACCAAATTTCGCAAGCACAATTTCATATTTTTAAAGTATGACAAGCTTTCTTGGAATTAGAGCTAGCAATATTTTAAAGCAGTTAATTACCTTATACTTAATATTAAATTATATTTAAGAAAATAACTTTTGACTGTTAAAACTTAGATAAACTTTTAACAATAATGTACTTCCCTTTTATTTTGCCACAATTGCAACAATTAACATGACAGCCTGAAATTAAAAGTTTATTTACGTTACTCATAAAGTTAAAGATAATAAATTATTTCACCTTTTCATCCCAGGAACGTTCACTCTCACCCAACAAATGTTGATTGGCCATTAGTTGAGCTCTGATCTTCTCTTCCATTTCTTTTCTTAGAACTTCTAATTCTGAGCAAATAAATTAAAAAGATTAGATAATAGGAGGGACAAGCTAGAAAATAAAAAATAATTTTAACTTATAATAGGCTACTCCACTTTGTAAGTCTGTTCTTGAAGTTTTAACTCAAAGTTATTTTTTGTAATTATCACCCATTGATTTGGAAGAATGAAAAAATTAATGACAATTCTTTTATTTATTTATACAAATAAGAAATTTCATTCATAATGCAGATCATCTGAACTTTATAACCTGAACTTCAATAAGCTTGAAGTGATATTTAAAAAAAACAGATAGGCCTTCTCTTTTGGCCTCATGTTAATATTTAGTTTTGAGACATTATCTCTTGTAATCTCATTTCTTCTCAATTACCAGTAGGCTTAGAGTTAAATTTTTAAAATCTTTAGCATACTTTAAAAGGATCTGGGTTTTTATGAAAAATTTACCTTCACGAGTCATAGCTCCCTTTCCTTCCATGGTGACTGTTCCTCCGGCTTCCAGAGCTTTCTTTAATTTTTCATTTTCTTCCTAAATTGAGAGTTAATATATTAAAGGACAGTCAATTTGTTATATTTTTGGGCAAACATAATTTATGGAATAAACAAAAAAAAACAATATTTTCTGTAAATTACCTTCAGCTCCCTAATCATCTTATCTAAGGGATTTTCATTGATAACAGCCTGATTTTTTATTTTCTTTGCACGATCTGCATACCGCAGGGTAGAGAGTGTTTCATCATAGTTTATATCTGCTGGAGACAAGGCTGCAATCATCACAGTTTTGCTAGAAATAAAACCAATGAACATTAACTACAATACTTTATACAAAATGCACTATCCATACATTAATTTTCCACTCCACTATGGGCAATGGTAGCATCCCAAAAATCCAGGAACTGGTTCTATAAAGGCAGATCATCTGGAAAAATGGGTTTTAACTTTGAATTGAATTATTTTGTGATAATTCAATAACCGGTTAGCTAAGCTTTTATAATTTTAAGAACTTTTTAATGGGAACTTAGTAGGATGTCACCACTGACTCTTTGTTATTATAAAATGAAAAAGTTCAGGTTTTTTTTTGCAGATATTATAAAAAAGGACCAGAATTTCTAAGTGAGTTAAATAAATAGACTTTAAAACTGGTGTGTGTGTTTCACTACACTGTGCTGAGGAAGTTTAGACATCTGAATTTTAACATAGGCATAGGCCAAGTTTTCAGCAATTTATTTTTGTCTTCATTAGCTGGGGAATTTCGGTCAGCATTTTTATCCTCTCCAAGAATAGTTTCCTTGCCAGTTTGAAGAGTTCATTTTAACCTACTCATAGTTAAACTTTCCCCAATATGTAGACAAATCATGTTAATTTTCCGAAAACCTAAATTTTTTTCTATTAAATTAAAATTAATATATTTTTTTCTAAAGAAACATGCTAACTTTTGGGATAGTTTACCTGTTGCCACCGAGAGCATTTTGCAGCAGTTTAGTCAGAACAGAATCTCTGTATGGGACAACAACTTTCTTTTTTTCTGAAGCTTCAGCCAATGCCTAAAGAGATATATAAAAAGAGAAGAATATTTGTTTACAGTCCAGTTCACAAGGGCTAACTTTTACACATAACAAACTTTGCAAATTTTTTTACTACCTGTAATTCAGCTTCAATTAATTATTACTAAAAATGCGAGAAATTATAGTTAAATGAAATGGTGAATTTCATTATTAATTTAAGTGGCAATTTTTTGTCATATGTTTAGTTTAACTTCTTAAGTATGTTGTCTGTGTTATCCCATTTATTTAGATTAACCAGATGCTATGGAATAAGTATTTGAGGGTAACATTTAAAAAAAAAACAAACAACCAACACAATTTTTTAACTTTTGGTTCCTCTTTTTCATCGAGACTTTCATTGAAATTAGACACTATAAGTAACCTGTCATTGTGTGTGTATTCCCCCACCCCCAACCAAATGTCCAAACATGTTTTTCTGTACCTTATTTTCCAATGACCACATCTGCTACTTTGTTACATGACTTCTGATTTTGCACTTTTTCTATAATAAGGACATCAGACTTGTCAAAACTTACTGAAATCACATTGCCAAGGGCTGACAATGATCTATTGATGTTGGCCCCTTCCTTGAGCCTATCACCTGTTGCACCCGTAGAGTCTGCCCTCTCAGACCCAGCTAGATCTACCAGGTTCATGGTGCTGCTCTTTTTGGTTTCTTCTCCATCTTCTTTGGTCAGGATTTGATCAAATACTATGGTGACTACCGTGTGAGCACGACTGCTGGTTGCATTCATGTTAGTAGAGGCCACTGTTCTGTTAGAGGTTCCTAGATTTAAAACACAAATTAAGAACAATGGTTAAATGTTACAATTGGTATGAAAATGAATATTTGTTTCATTTCTTATTAATCGTAGCAATTGATGCATGACTGGCCCTAACAATTTAAGACAAACTTAAGAACTTGCAGTTAGATATAAATTTCAAATATTTAATTTTAATCTTAACATATAAATTTCAAACATTTAATTAGAATCTGAAAATATAAATTTTGGGGGGAAAGATAGTGGCATTAACAGAAAAGCAATGAACTGTCAGTCTAACGACAACTTATGTCAAACAGCAGCTTCATGCTGTTTGTCATAAACATTTAGTTTAAAAGCAGGTCTAGTATATTGAAAAGGTAATGTAAAACTGCAATTCTATTTTTAAAGTCAATAAACATTCTTTGATTTGTTTATTAGACCTATATGAGATGTATCTTTGTGCATTATGGAAGGGAAAAAAAATACTTTCAGACAAAATATTTTTCTTCATGTGAATTTACCTTGCTCCATCCTCATTTCAATCTCCGAGTAACTGCCAACAGGAACCTTTTTCAGATCTTGAACATAGAACATTCCTAGCTTTGGGTTCTGTCGAACTTGAAGACCCCCTTTAGGGTTGTCTTTGGAAAGCAGGTCACGAACTTGTTCATTATAGATTTCCAACATGGAAAAAGTCACCTCAAACCTCTGATAGAATGTTAAAATGTTTTAACATAATGAGTGTTAACTGAAACTTTACAGCAGGATAAATTAGCTCTAAATTATTTTAATTAATTTCATCTTTTTCTTGAAATATGTTATCTTAGGTCAATTATTTTATCTTCAGTAAATGTGAAATGCCAACCCTTACCATTGTTGTTTATAGAGTTATAAATTTAATGTTTGTAACATAGAGGTTTAATAAATATAAAATTTGTGCATAAAATATGTTCAGAATCCCTGAAAGAACTCAAACAAAATGACAAAAAAAAAGAGAATAGTTTAAAAGACTGCCCTACATTTTCAAACAAAATTGTACAAAGTACATCTATGTAAATATGTGGGCACATGTTTTCAGATTGAAAATGGCTACTTTTGCTAAAATAGTTTTGAATTGTAAGCTCATCACCTTGTTTTTGTCTTTGTTACTGGCCATAGTCTTGAATAATTCATCACAAGTGATTGGGACAATGCCTCTGTAAACAAAGTGTTAAATAATTAACAGGAACAAAAGTAATGAGGAATAAAGTTCAAACCTTTGATCTTATTATTCTAATTTTGTTCAACAATCCTGCCACTTGAATTATGTTGATGACTAATGTTGACTTACTTGTTGGGACCATAACCAACCATTGAATAGGACTTTCCTGATCCCGTTTGCCCATAAGCAAACAAGGAACAATTGTAGCCTGTGAAGATAAACATGAACATGAGCACATTTAAACTAAGATAGCTTTAATATAAGGATACAAATGAGGCTGACAAGAAATGCATTTGGCTGCTTCAGATCAGCTTGATATACAGTGAAAGCTATTTTTCTTAAATGCTCAATAATTGCTTTTTAATTATTTTTGTACAAAACTTAAAGAAATCTTATTTAGTAAGTCAGATAATGATCAAATTACGCAAATGATCCTATTGCTTTAATTTCTTGATATTTGAAGAATTTATTATGATTTCTCAATGATATTTTTAATTAAGAATTTATTTTTCCAAATATATATTAGCAAGAAGGAAAGAACACAACCAGATTATTTGGAATTGATGAAGTAATATTTATGCCCATTTCAAAGATTATAAATTGATGACAAAGAAAGCAGTAAACTTATTAAACAGGGAAAGCAAATTCACCTTCAAAAGCATTGTCCAAAACCCCCTGTCCAAGGTCTTGAAACACCTTTCTTTGACTTGAGTATTTTGATCCAGGAACAGCTTCCATAATTCCATCGTCCCGTACAATGAAGCCATCATGAGACCTTGGAAAATGTATTTAAAAAAAAAATGAATAATTAGAACGTTTAAGGTAGAACAATTATATTTTTGCTAAAATTTAACAGTTTTTCCAGTTTTTTTTTTAAATACCTGGTAATAAAGGTATTAAAAGCTTGTATCTAGGCTACAAAGCTGTAAATGTTGGGTTGGTAATCATTGATATAAATTAAAAAGCATCAAATAAAAATGGTTTTACTCACCAGTATGAATAGTCAAATGAGAACTGTAATTTAAAAAAGGAATACGAATATTATAAATGGATATTTAGTTTATGATGAGTTAAATTGCATTTTCTTTTAATTTAATGAAATATTTCTCTTATAAGACTTTAAAAATAAGTTGATTATACTTAATTATAATCAAATCTAAGATGGAACATTGCAAACATTTAGAGTTAAGGATTTTCTATAGAATTTTTAAAATTTTTATTAACATGTATTTTATTGCTGAAAAGAGGAAAGAATAAATTAGAATATTAAAGATAAGTAGACTGAGATAATAAATTAAGCAAGTGGAGAGGATTATTTAAAATATATTTAAAGAAGAACTTAGTATTTCCAAAGAAATTAAATATTATGAAGATTACAATACCTTTTTTGGCTCTTCCCCTGAGAACAAACACAAATAATAAGATGGGAAATAGGTGTTAAAAACCTTGTTATACACAACAGTAATAATATTTTATATATCCAACAATTATACCTAACCAAAAATATATCACGCATTTTCTTTCAAATATTGTAACCAGTGGCTTGGCTAGGGTTAGTGTGGCCCGGGGTGAGACCAAGATGTTTGCCCCCACGAAAAAAAACCCTCTGTAGTTGGCCGAAAATCCCCCCCCCCTCCTCAAAAGATTGAAACAAATTACAGCCCACTTTGCAAACCCTCTCCTTTCCATTTTCTCACACCAGTGCTTGTAACATGGGAATAGCTATTTAGAGACGTTAATAGAAAATAAGCACAGAGCCTTTTACAACCCCCCCCCCCAAAAAAAAAAAAAAAA